GAAAAGCCTTGGCCATTTAAGTACTAATAACAGGCATGTAAGCAGATGGATCCCAGTGCTAGCAATGGTGAAAGAAGTGTGGCTATCCCATGAATTCCAAGAGAAACTCTAAGAGTTTTATCTGAATTTCTTTCATTTAAATAATCAAAATTAGCAACTATTTTTGGCAACACTGTTTTTGCATGTGTCTCAAACAGCAGATTTCAGCAAAGCCAACTTAGAAGTTTCTGTACCTAAAAGAGATAAACTCTGTATTCAATATGTGTTTTTCCTACCAAAGCTCACAAGAATGTTGGCCTTGATTTCAGGTACACAGTTTCTCCCAGAAGGCAGTATTTCACATAAACTCTAGCTGAATTTGTAGATTATTTGCTCACAAATAGCAAGTGGATATTTTAGGAAATGCTTTGCTGTTGACCTCCCAGGAGCTGCACAGCCTTTTCATCGTCCCCTCACTTAAGGAAGTGTTAAAGCAGTGTCTGAACTCGACCTCAATTTTCCTTGCACACGAGCCCAGAGAAAGCACCCACCCAGGCTGCCCGCTGCCCTGGTTCCAGGAGCTGAGCAGCAGGACAGGGGGAGGGTGGGATTGCTCCAGTGCATGTGGAAGGTGCTGCATGTGCCACTGCCCTACTTCCAGATCTACTTGCTGATGTTTGGAGAGTGCTGCACTGGAATACTTCAAAACAGAAAACAGAGATCCTGTGTTTGAAACAAACATGTTCCTGACAGATCTGCTTGGTTTCAGAGAAAAAAAAGTACCACTGCTATTACTTCAGTGCTTTGTGGGATTCTTATAATAGCTGAATAATTAATTTTGTATTATTTACAGTTACTCTGAACTTTCACTAATGTTTTATAATATTCTGGGATTTAAATTCTGAAACTCTTGTTTATTCTGTTAGCTCCTGAAACTTCACATGCTTTAATACTTTAGAATAATTGGATTCTAAAAGACAGAAAGCCAGTCTTATCTTGTGCTGTCCTGATATACAGAAAATCTCTCTCTATCAAACTGAGACTGGTCCTGAACACTGAGACTGATGTAAAACAAAATATAACATCACAGAAAGAACTGCAGACCCAAAAATCCACATTTATCTTACATTACCTAATCCACCAACACTTTTCATCCTACTTAAGGCTAAGCATCTTTCTCGGATAACTGCCATTATGCTCCAGTCACAATCAACACAGAAAGGTAAGTCAAGACCTCCATGGGGTGATTTAGCTCCCTTCAGATCACCTTTTGAGGTGTTTATGTCTACTGATTGATGATAAAGGGAACTGGAGCACTGAGATACCTTTTCCTCTCTAAAATCTTCTGTGATTAATCCTTTCTTGGTTGGGTGGCTTTCTTTTTCTGGACACATTTGGAATTTGGACACATTGTTCCAAATCATAAGGCCTTGACTTGTCGTGGTAGGACTAGATCATTGTTGGTATTTGTCTTCATCCCTTCAAGCAACTCACTCCTACTGTCCCTCTGGATGAGAACTGTGAGTGGGTAACTGCCATTGAGGCTACAGCACTGGCATTCTACAGGTACTCTGTAAGTTACTGAGTGAAAACATCCTTATTTGCTTATGATGAAAGCACTGAAGTGTAAAAACATGTTAAGACTGACCTCAGTGAGCTTCCCGTGAAAGCATAAGCAAAGTTTGGGCAGGTTTGAGTATGAAAAATTAATTGTCCATCTCAAAGAATTTGTAGCCACTGCCTTCACAAGCTAATCACTCTACACTGGTGATATATGACTAACACTGCTTTAAAATTCAAAATAACTCTTAATAGATGATTCACTGTGTCACAGAAAGATGCCTGAAATACTCATTCACTGTTATTTGTCTTCTTGTACAGTTTACAGAAATAATTAGTATTCCATTTGACAAACAAGTGCAAACATCCATTAGCTTAATGACACAACACATATTATGACTAGGTCTATAACTCTCACTAGAACACTCTCAATAGTAACTGCTGAACAGTCTGTCATATTGGAGCACACATATTTTAGTAGATGTAAAATTGCTCTGGTTACAAGGCCACTGAGATGTTCAAAGAAAGAAAATCATTGGACAGCCTAATCTATCTTTGAAGTCAGGAAATAAGAGAGAAAAAAACCCCCTTGTATGTAATCTATAAATTACAGATACCTGAAAATGGTCTTATAGATTTACTGACCTGCAAATGAGTTCCACCCCCACATCCATAAACAATTATCGCCAAAGGGCAAAGAGTGGAGTAGAGCATAAATTTTGTTGTGATTACTGTTTGTTCTGTAATAACATTGAAAATTGTCAGCTCTATACAAAAACACAGAAGAAGCCTTTTTCTACTATACTCTGAGTGCAAAGGACAGCCTAAACAATGGCATCTAAAAACTGTGAGATTAGCCAATCAGTTGTAACCTCAGATAACTTATTTTTTTCAGTTTTCATTGGAAAGCTTCCGCCTGAGTTGTAAGACATAAGCTGGCATGTGCCTATCTTTGTAACCACCTCTTATAAGATTCTGATGTGGAGATGTAAATGATGGCTTTACAAATGATGCACGAGGTGAAAATCATTTTCTGTGGGTTTCCTGCTAGTTATGGTAAAGTTATTTTGAAAATTCTTATTATATGCAGACAGGAACAAAGCCAGTGAGGAATCTTTCTGGGCTTCATACCATCTTATAAAATCATGTAATTCCCATAAAAAGCTCCATTCCCTCTCTGTCTATGTGAATGCCAAAAAAAGGTGGCTTTGAACAGAAAACCCTGTGTTTTAAAGCTATATTGGCTTCACAAGTGCTGATGTTGCTCTTGCAGCAGATGGCACAAGCCTGGCAGGCAGGAGCTAAGGGGGCTGTGGGGTTTCAGTTGAATCCACCCAGGCCCTGAGTGTCAGCAGGGAGGCTCGATGAGGGCAGGTACCAGTGGTGCCAAAAGCACACCATGAGCATGTCCCTCATCATCCGAGGGGAAAGTGCACTGCTACTGGAGGCACTGTACTAATCCAGGCTTAGTCATTTTGCTTTACTGAGACATGGCACTACATGGAGCAGGGCAGTGTTTCTAAATGGAACCAAAGCATGCTAATGAGAACAGACTGGTGAGGACTGAAAAGTTTTGTGTGTTGTGCCAGTGCTGGCTCCAAAACGTGTTTGAGGGTACTGAGCTGGGTACTGCCTGCCTTTGCAGAAACATGAAAGATGAGTCTGCTGAAAGGCACCCTTAAGAGCACAGATTCCAGCAGTGGACTTGGGTCCTCCTTCAGCTAGAAGGAACTCATATCAGCTCTATATGATGTCTATAAAATTAAACACTCTCTCAAATTCACCATAGATTAACATAATCAGACTCCAAGTTAATTGATTTGGACTGTTTATAGAGGTTCTTTTGGGTTTTTTAAATATATAATCAGTAGTATAAAGAAAGTGTAAAAATGCCATTATGTGTGTTCACATAGACAAGAGTAACAATCACTTGAACATAACTCCAGTCTTAGAGAAGCTGCAGATGTTTGAACTACTATTCTCAGTCAAAAAGTGCTTTGTTTCCTTAGTTACTGCTTTACTGGGTGTCTTCATCTCATTTAGCTTCTTTGCAAGTCTAGCAGGGTCAGTCCTAGGTCAGTAAATAATGAACTATAATGAAGCAGTATCTGCAGCTGTTGAGCCCAGCCATAATTACAGGTGAGCTTGCCACTTCCTGCATGTTTTACTGTCAGTTACCACAGACCCTGCTGGTGAGCAGCATTTTGCTGCTGTGCAGCATTTCAGTAAAATATTGAAGTAGGTAGGTAAAAAAGGTGAAGGAGTATTTACTCAATAGCACCTTGTACTATAAAAAACTAAAAAGTAAGATTAAAAATGTCCAAGTCCTTATGCATATAAAATTACATCAGGTTCAACAGGAGTTTAAATATCACAAAAATTCATTTCTGTCTGGAACAAGCAGCATTTGTTATTAAGCATGTGTGTGGCCCTAAGACAAAGGGTAAAATTGGACCATTCATTTAGCCTGGCTAGAGCAAACTTCTCCTCTAAAAAGCCATGTGCTATGTTACACTTATTACCAAAAGGTTTAGGCAGCACATAACAGTGACTATCAGAAAAGCAAGCTAGAGAAATAAAGTAAGAGAAAATCTAATTACTGTCTCCAAAATGACACACCAAACTTTATCAATGTGCTGACCTAAAGGCATCTTGTCTGGCAAAACAAATACAGGAGATTTAGCCTTTCCACACAGAACCATCTTCTCTCTTCACTGTCCTTTAGTACACCAGCTTGTATCACACTGTACACAGCCCTGTATTCCCCCTGAGTATGATTCTCAATTCTCAGGCACCACTGATGAGAAAGTTCTTTATGTTAAGTAAGCTACAGAGCTACTGGATAGCCAGACTAATCATGTAGCCTCCTTCACGTGCCTCCAGCCCTGGCTAACACCATATCTCTCTGGCACAATATAAACATGGGGCAATGGAGTAGTGTTTCCTGTGGATGTCAATTCAAGTTTTTCAGGTCTTGCAGCAAAACATTCTTCAGAGCAATACATTTTGGTTGTTTGAACCTACCATCCAGTGCCATCAGTACTCTAGATTAATGCATTCTACACTGTCTGTAATCTGGATTATAAACAGCTATGCCCTGTAATCCTTAGGGGAACCTGACTCGGTCAAAGTCTTACGGCTGAGACATTGCACATTCTTCTCTGTCCCAGCAGACAGAGGAAGGTGACCTTGGTGTGGGTCAATATCCTTCTGTTGGTACTCTTCACATGTGAGTGACTTCTCTGCTGAGGTTGGTATATATGTAAAGCTCCCCCTGCTTTATCCTGTGTTTTTGCATCATCTCTATTTCCTTCCTTAGAGTGAGAAGGATTCCACACCCCAGCAGTACAGGTGCTAGTTAACACTTTCACTGAAGTGTTTCACCCTTCTTATTTCACTGCCTGCTTTCCACCCAGCAAGCCAACATGTATAACAAAAACAGAGGGGATTTGGCCACTTACCAAGTGAAGATGAGACATAGTAAGGTAGATATTAAAATGAGCACTTGGTTAAACATTGCGGACTGTGTGCGTTGGATGGCTCGGTGAAGATCATTCTGTAGTAATGGAAAATAGTGTTATTTTTGGGTTTGAACCAGTAAGTCAGGATCTGATTCTGTAGAAGAAATATGCAGTACCCCGATAGCAATGCAGTCACCCAAATGAATTTATGAGTTTGCTGATAATACCGAAGGTGCAGAAGGGCCAGCTGTGATTCTGTGATTATTTAAGTAGTTCTTTGTTCGTCCCAGCACAATTCTGATCCTATTGCAAGCTGCCTTGAGGTCTGCTCATGTCTAGCTTACAAATTACAGGCTGCAAGGCCCAATTATGGCCTAACAGTTGAGTTCCCTGCAATTGTGTATGAATGGTAGAGTAGCAAAAGAACCATACACTGCCATTTCCTGCATTGGCACAGTAACAATTTATACTAATTGAGATTTCATTTCATGTCTTACTTTTTTCTCATTTTGATGCAGAAAGCAGCTTAGTAATGCTTAACCATTTGGATAATCTAAATACAGATCTGGTTAGCTTCCTATTACGGTTAGACTGTACTGCCAAAATCCCCCTAAAGACAATATACAAAAAACCTCACAACTCTAGAATATTTATTTCCTTTGCATACTTACAATCATATTTTCTAAAGCATGCTTTGCCAGCCAGCAATTTAAAAATACAGGAATAAACAGGTTTCTTAGGACTGGCCAGAAAATCTGCAAGAAGAATTAACAAATTCATTAGGAGCTTTTCTGATGAGGAATAGAGCTTTACTATTCAAGCAGCAATGAAACACTTGGGAAAAATACTTACTATTAATGTGTTTCTAGCGTGAGATTTGGCTTTAAATAACATTTTTGTCTTCCTTTGTGATTAACCACATGCAAGATAATTAGATAAAATAGGAACACAGTTTTCACTGCAGACATGAGTGATTCTTCCATTTCTACAACCATCTGGTTTATTTTATTGATTGTGCTGTAGTTGGAGTTACAGGGTTTTGGTTTTGATTGTGCCCATGGAAGAAGAAGTGAAAAGTTATCTGTATGGCTTTACTCCAGCAGCAAATTATTTTCTTCTTGTTGGCATTTCTGTTCCCATAGGCACAAACTCATCATCCACATTAGAATAAAATTTAAATAAAATTTTTTAAAAGTAAGAGTATTTGTGCAGCTATAGAAATGCAATGTGCAAATGTATTAATTCAAATATGTTTACCGTGATGATGAAAGGGACAGCATTAATTATTTCCAGGAGAAAGGGTATTCTCAGAATTTGTTCCCAGATATTTCCCTTCAAAGAAAAGGAAAAAAAACCCACAATGTCAGACAGCTTAAAAGCAAATTTCTGAAGAGAAATACATGTCATGAACCAATGAAACACAGAGAGTCTCTCCCACACCTGATATTAAGGACTATCATTCATCTCAGATTTAAACACATGTGAATATGGAATGCAGATCACTGTGGAACCTTTTTCCTACAGGTTATCATAATGTACTTCCCAAGTAAAAGATATGCACTTTTAAATCTCCTTCCTTTCATCCTTTGCATTTATCATTTACCTTACTTTGTATCTTTTCTTTCCCAACTGTTTTGGCAAGGGAAGTAAGGAACAAATCAAGTGTTTAATATTTGAATTAGGACTAAAATATCAAGTTCTCTGTTTCTGCCACCAACACTTCAGAACAGTGTTGTTCTGTACACTTCAGGGCTTTTTGGAACTTGATCTTCTTCCATGAAATGAGCGGTCTTCCCACATATTTCAGTGAAGTGGCATTGATCTTTTAATTTACTTACTGCTAGCAACAGGATGGGGATAATTCTACTTTTTTTTCCAAATCTGTGCAGTGGCTGTGATTGATTAAATGTTGAGATGAAAATCCACATATTAGAAAAGGAAGGTAGTTGAACTTCAATGACTCACAGTTTTACTAATGCTGTGTAGCAAGACTCCATCATAGGTAATGCAATAATAGTGTAGCACATACCATGGCAGTATTACAAGAATTTGCAGTAGAGCATTATATTTTCAATTGCAATAACATGTTCATCTTCCCTGAAAAAATAACTACCTGATACAGCCATTGAAAATTAAATACAACCTCCCTATCATATATAATTCTTTCTCCATTTTTAACTCTCCACATCTGGAAGCCACTATACCTCAGGGACAGGGATTGTTGTCTTCCGTGTAATTGCAATTGGTTGGAGTCAGATATACAAGTGAAATCATGAGGCTGCAAACTGAGAAGCTTTTGTATGAAGAGTAAAATCAAAATCAAATCTGATTTTTCAAACGTAACCATTTTGTGATTTCACAAATTTCCTCATTTTTAACATTAGGAGTTTCCTCCTCTGCATTACAGAGAAGAAATGTCACATAATTTAACTGTGCAGGCAAAGTGCCAGTATGGATGGGCTCCAGGTAATTAGGGATGTGTGCAGCTGCAGGATTCTGGCTTCCACATGGAAATGCATAAATGCATCATGAGTTCTGCAAAACTGCCTTTTGCAGTGAGAATGTATGGTGCTGCTCAAAGCCCTGAGAGGACCTGAGCACCAGGCATAAGCAGCATTGCCAGATGTCTGTGGAAACTTTTGACAATGGAGGTTTTGGACGTAGACATCTTTCAGAATTCTGGCCAAGGACAAACCTTCCTGTAATGCTTTAGGCTGTGACAATGCAGATTGTAAACCTTCAATTCCTGGATCCAAGTGATCAGCATCACAATGCTGTGCTACATCCTTTGCATTCCTCTCCACTTAAAAGCTATAAAAAATGCAAATTCACTGTATCACAGTAGCATGATATGCTACTCTGCCCTCACTACTCTGCATGTTGAATCATTTCTCATATGTCATGGGCCAGGTATCAGAAAGGTCAATCTCTCAGAGTATTCTCTCAAATGACTGCTTTATTCATTTTAAAGGTTATTTGTGAAATCCTAGTAACGTGCACTCCAATGCAAACACGATCATCTTTTTCTTGTTTTCTCGCTTGTTAATTCTCTGGCTTGTAGAAGTTAGTCACCTAAATGGTGAAAGCCTTGAAAATGTTTCCACAAAATAAGTAATCTGCCACAGATTTACATGAACCAAGGCACCTTTGGTCACCTTGGCTGTGCAGAAAAGCCTTACAGTGGAAGAAATAACACCATTCTTAGCTTCAAGAGAATGGTGAAAATAAAACTAGGAAAACAGGACCAGAGGAAAGGAGGTGTTTGCATTAAGTGGATTGATGTGACTGAGAAATTTTGTTGTTCCTTAGATTAATCCCTTAGTTCTTTCTCTTAAAGGGAGTGGAACCACAAAATTGCCTTAACTTCTGTGACAGGTGTATGCAGCAAATCAGGGTAGTGGAGCTTTCCATCCATCACACACTGATGAGTAACTTCTCATGGAAGCAGATTTGCCAAGCATTCATCTTTTGTACCCACTGAAACTGAAACAAATTACAAGCAGAATGGATGAGGATAAAATGCTGCCCAATAAACTCAGGAACAGCACAAAATGTGATTGCCCTTTACTGTTTAGACACCAGGATATAAATTTTGGACTATTTCTGCTCATAATTGATTTGCACTTATAACCCCAACCTTTAAATAATATATGCTCCAAGGATTAAGAAGAATAATTTTTAGACAGCAGACAACTGCAAGCCTCTTAGCATTATTGGGCACTAAAGAAAACATTTATGCCATGATCACTCGGTAAGCACACTGAAATACAAGTCTCTGAATTCAGCAGTGGCTCTGATAGCTATTCAGTGTCAGTTATACAAAGTGTAATACCAAAAAAAATTATCCCCCAAGATATTTTCAGCTTTAGTAACCAAGTATTTTCATATTTTCTTTGGTAAATGATTTCAAATGCTTTTGGTGTTTTTCTCCTGAAGATACTAAAAATGCAGAGATATAGCAGAACAAAATAGAATGAAGAAAACTGAATAATTATATTTTAAAAATTAACTTTTAAAGGAAAATGCAAATACAAAAATACATTGTATTCACATCAATGACTTCAAGACATTTTGAAATGTTATTCCAATAGCATCAAACAGATGAACATAAGTATGTAGAGATCTGTTTTGTTGTTTGTTTTTTTTTTAAGTACTGTCTTGGCCTAGTTTTTCTGGGCACAGTTTTAGAGGACTAAACCTTGAATTATATGTATTGAGTAGCTACATCTTTAAAATCAATGACAATTGTGTCCAATACATTATGGACAGACAAATAAAACTGCAGAACGTAAAATCAGTGTCAAAAAATCAAGGTCACCTTTGAGAATGTGTTTTCAAATTACAATGGAAAACAATGAGCATTTAATTGCTGACTTCCACTCTTTAGATATTAGAGTTTGCTCATAAATTTGGGAAACAGGGCTGTCTGTGTGTTTTATGCCATCCTCAAAAAGTGTGTTTTTCTCAACTCCCTGCTTTGTACACCAGCATGGGCACAGGTACATAAACTTTAGATTGAAATATTTAACTCATTATTTTTTAATTAATTTTGCCTAAACGTAACAAAGAGTACTTACCTTGTAGCTTAGATAACTTAGCAACAGAGTTTCAAAGAGACTTATTACAGCCACAGACACCTTAAGTGAAGTGAAAAAAATATGTGTATTAATACCAGCTTCTAGAGAGTAGCTATTAACATTACAATGAAAATAAAAGATTATATAAAATAGTTCTTCTATGAAACCTCTGAAACTCTCTCAGCTAAGAGCATTTTGCTTGAAGCTTAGATATTGTTATTTTTCTGAGTTTCATTTATTCCTAAGCAGTACCAAAGTCTTCCCACATGACAGAGAGAGAGAGAAAGAAGCTGTAAATAAGCAAACTCAGTCAGCTCTTTACTTTCTTGAGAAGATGTTGTGAATGTGTGGAATAGCAACTGTTTTTCTTACTGTGTATAACACAGAAAGTTGAAAGCAGAAAAAAATGATACAGATGAATAATTATTGATTTTAAGATTTAAATGCAGTAGAGCTCATTTTACCAGCCTCCAATTAGATTATGTAGTTAGTGGGTGTATTAAAGAGTTTAAAATACTTAAATATTCAAATATCAAAATAGTACAACAAAATACCTAATACTTGTCTTACTTTATAGATACTAAGAATTTACTGATGTTCTTTGCACAGAAAGTATTTGTATTTTAATGTGTATCATGGTGATATTCCATCGAGATGGATTCTACCAGGCTGGAGCCTGAGGTCAAGCCTCAGAATTTTAAATCTTAAATTAATGCTCCCTACAGCTGAAAACTCTGAAGGGTGCACAGAGTCTCTATCTGGAAGTTTTAAAAGATGCTATGATTTGGGAAAGAATTAAAATATACAAAATTATTAAAATAGGCAATCAAAATATATCAGCTTCTCCAAAGCTGATATATTAATAGTTTTAGATAAACTCAGGCTTCATTTTCAAATAAATTATTACCCTTACCAAACAGACATATTAGAAAAGTACTGCATGCATAGACAAATAAATATATCAGTATTTTTAAATTAAATTTAATAATCTGAACACTAGGTAAAAAATATTCAAACTGTGCATATTCTACAGTATTTTCAAGGGCTTCTTCCCTTAGAAAATTGAAAATTGTGTATTACATAGAGGTACAATCATTGCATTGGTATTGCACCAGTCATGGTGAGTGAATATAATGGTATAACCTATCTAGAAGCTTAAGTAGTAAGTTTTTCTTAGGGAAAAACCACATTTCACAGAGAGAATCAGAACAGATCAGCTGATCTTTATGCTTTTGCTGTACTTGGTGTTCAAGATTTCCTTGCTGACATCAACATTTCCAAGTATCCTTCAACACTGCTACAGCTCTGTAAATCAATATCATCTGCAGTTGTTACATGGAAATAACTGAATTTGTCATTCACATATTACCTGTAATCCCCATAAAGGTAAGCTTCGATTCACCCAAATAATGGGAGACCTGTTCATTACAGTAAGGAAATAAATATGAAATTAATCACAATCTGGTGTTTCAGACCAAAAAAAATGTTGTACATGTGAATGGAAATTAGAGCAGACTTATTGAAAAAAAAATCCTAGTAATAAAAACTTTAAATCAGTAGTTACCTACTGAGTATTGACATGTCTTGTATTTCTAATCCACAGCAAATCATTAGGTTCCTGTGGAAAACTGACAATCCTTTTGTGTGAACAATTTGCTATCTATACAATGATATAAATGGTATCTAACTCTTAGGGGCTGTGATATCTTGGAAGAATCCTATCAATGCTAATAGGCACTTGACACAGCACCCACTGGAATGGGACAATGGCACAATAAATTCCTGTTAATAATACTGCTACTCAGAACTGGTTTTTTTAAGTTAAGGGCATTCTTATTTATTTCTGCAAGGTATCAGCATTGATGGAACCCAGATTTCACACCAGCATCCAGTCCAGCAGTTCACTTTGCAACCAAGAGAAATAATTAAAATATTAAATGCAGTCTGAACATTCAGAAATGTAACTAATGGCTAGAGATTTATAGAAACATCCCTACTGTATGTTAAAATGCCACCATTCCAGATGGAAATGGATTTGTCTTCCTTGTGTCCCTTCCCACCATTCTGTGGACTTTTGGGTTGCAGTTTTAACTTAGGAACTCACCAATCAATTGTTCCAGGTGTGTAGTTTTGATTGGAACAACTCCGGTTTAATTCCTTACTGATAGTTGCCATACCATCCATGCAAAGTCCATTTCCATTAGCAAATGTATATGGGAACACAGTCATAAAAACATATGGGAGGAAAGGCATATTAATTACATCATTAATTGGTCTGTGAAATGCATGCAATAGTTTGAAACCCAAGGCAATCAATACAAACATTTTTGAAAGTAAAGTAACTTTTAGGAAGTACTGCTCTACGTGTTCCATATCTGTAGATAAAGGAATGTGAAGCATTCCAGTTACATTTTTTTAAGATTTATTTTCAAATTTAAGAACAAGAAAACTGAAATGATACTTTGTAAAGATGAACTAAGTACACAATATATACTGAAGATCAAGAAAGAAACCCTAGAAATCCTATCCCATGGACAGGCTGTGATACAAAGAGCACGTTCTCAATAGGAAAGACTGCAGCAAACTACACTTGATAACCTCTTCTGAGGATGTGAGGAGGGCTGGAGATGCATGCAGCAGTATTTGAAGTACAAAACTGGTGATACTCAAGTAAAAATATTGGCCATTGGGCACATGATGTTATCTTGCCTTTAATTGCTGGCACAAATCTTCCTTTTACATGGTCATATAAGGATGTGGGAATATATCATTTGTAAATGATGACAAATATCCTTGCTCATCCTTTGCAAGCAAGGTCAGCAGAAAATAAATGGATCTGCAGCCCACAGATTAGCAACAACTGTACATGGACCAGCTCTGAGTGGGACAGTGCTAAACTGTACCCATTAATTAATATTAATTAATTATGTCCTGAGCTCTTTCCTGTACACCCACTGTGCCTGAAGGAGTAAATGAAAGACACCAACTTGTGCAGGCATTTATGAAAAATGGAAATAATCTGATAAAAAGAATTCCTCCCAGATTTTTCACTTTAAGGCCAACCAGATGAAAATATTTTCTGTGGCCACACTCTCAGGATGCTGAGTAGTTTCTTTCATTGGGCTGTGACACAGTACCTAGAAATTATTTTTTCTTTCACATCACCACATCCTTAAGAATGCATTCAAGCAGGAGTTTTGGTATCAAACCCTCAGCATCTCTAGGGCATTAATGGGGTGCCATTTGTTTGTCTGGCACAGCTTCTAAGATTAGGGCCTTAGTAAGCAGGCAGAAGGACTCACCTGAATCTTCTCAGGCAGACAAATGTTATTCAGAGACAGAACACACCAACTAGTCTCTTAGATGTACCACAACACCATGTAAGGGAATAACATGTATAGAAAATATAAATACACTCTCTGGTGAATTGTAAAACACTTGAATTGTAAAACACTTGGATTGAAGGACATGCCAGGAGAAGTGTGAGGCATTCAGCAGTCTGCAGATGTATATGAATATGCATTCTGGCACATAAATACAAAAGTATATTTGGCACAAGGTCTGATATTCTAACCTGTCCTGCACACCCAGACAGAACCAGGCAGTACAATATACTCATCTGGGCTCACCAGAGGTCTCATAATGAAAGAATTACAGCTTGCCAGAAACCATGATTAGATGGAAAATGTTAAATCCCTGAGTTGCTTATATGCCTAAATTTCTAAGGATGGATTTCCTCTTCTCCACAACTTCTTGTAGAAACTTTACTGTTTGTTTTGTCTGATATTCTAAGGTATATGTAGAGTCAAAAGTAGTTTTTTATGGGTCTTGTTTTTCAGGGAAATCTCTTCACAGCCCTTTTCCAGAACTTACAATTTCTCACAGTAAATTTTCCCCCCAAAAAAAATCTCAAATGTATCTTCTGTACTTCCTATTCACATATCCTTCTCTATGCACTGCTGAAAAAAGCAAATATTCTTAACCTCTCTTTCTTTTGGATTTCATTCTTGCAAAATAAAGTATTTCTCCTGCATTAGACTTTTTGGTGTTACCCTTACTAGATATAACTGATATCCAAATATTAAAATTAGAAATCAAACTCTATGTAAAAATTGTGTGAAGTATTTGTGTCTATGTAAAATTGTGTGAAGGCTGCTGGTTCTATCATCCTAAGCTATTTTCTTATGCGCTTTGTTTCTTTCAGCATTTAAAGACAAAAGAATCAAATCAAGTGAAAGAAAGTATGTTAATAAAATGTGATCCTTATTAGCATTAAAAATTGAAGAAATTCAATATTCCCAGGATATAAATACAACAGAAGTACAGGATTAAATAAATTACAATTTCTTCTACATTTGGTGATTAATTGTGTAACACATTTAAAAAAAAAGGGTTATATAGAACACCATACTGGCAATTCAGTATGGTACATTCCGTAAATCATTGTGCTAAATGATATCCATAAATCATTGTGAGTACAGAAAGTACCTTTGGTCTCACTCTTCTGAAGAGTTTAGAGAAAGCAGAAGGCTAGAAAATGATCATCAATATCATCTGCATGAAAGCTCAGTTTCATATATTTGTCTGTCCATTTCTGGGATCTGGGGTTTTAAGTGATTTAAGCAAAATCCGAAAAGAATTGCTGCATAAACTGGGAATCAGACATTTGCAATTTTGCATAGAAATGTCATGTAATAACACATCTCAAATATATGTTTGCACAATTACATCTGATGCACAGTATCTAAGTAGAGAGACAGGATTATTTTAGTGGTAAAGGGAAAAATACTACTGTTATTTTAGTTCTTATTTCCATTCACAATGTAAGAGCAGCTTTGTAATTCTTTCAGAATATCTGGAAGACATAAAACAAATCCTTCGTGTATTTAATAATTTATTTCTTATAGCTTAAATAATGCTTTGAGAGCAGAAATGAGGAAAAAACCCTCAAACATTACCATCCAAGTCCTTGTGTAGGATCATCCAGGAGCACACGAACTATGTATAGGAAACAGCTTAGGAGCTTGAGAGAGAAATTGAATAATCGTATTCTCAGACCTAGAGGGAAGGGAAGGGAAGGGAAGGGAAGGGAAGGGAAGGGAAGGGAAGAAGAAGAAGAAGAAGAA